AACACTACCGTTCAGGAAGATAGGTCACAGGGTTGAGTGAGGGAGAGCGGGTGGAGCGATATGGATGGGGTGGGGTGGGTCCAGCATAACACTACCGTTCAGGAGGAGAGGTCACAGGGTTGAGTGAGGGAGAGCGGGTGGAGCGATATGGATGGGGTGGGGTGGGTCCAGCGTAACACTACCGTTCAGGAGGAGAGGTCACAGGGTTGAGTGAGGGAGAGCGGGTGGAGCGATATGGATGGGGTGGGGTGGGTCCAGCGTAACACTACCGTTCAGGAGGAGAGGTCACAGGGTTGAGTGAGGGAGAGCGGGTGGAGCGATATGGATGGGGTGGGGTGGGTCCAGCGTAACACTACCGTTCAGGAGGAGAGGTCACAGGGCTAGATGGAGTGTTTTTAAAACCCTCCCTGACCCAGTGGTTCCTCCATTGATCGGTGTGTCGGAATGCTAATTCACACACAGGCTTCAGCTCAGCCAGCTAATTACAGTAGACCTCCTACAGGGATGAGATGAAGGGAGAAGAGGAGAGGTAAGGATCAATCCCCTAGATGCTGCAAAATACCTTCCTCCTTCCGTTTCTGTGTTTTCTCTCACAGATTAATGAACTTTCTGCCCACGCAAATTCTCTCTCCAGTTCGCTCTCTCACTGCTCTTTCTCACTGCCTATCTCTCTCTCTCTCACGCTCTGCCTCTGATTTTGCTAGCTCCTTTAAAATGTGCTCCGTTCTCTCACCTCACAGTGTAATCATCCTTGCAGAAGGAGTGCGGGGAGAGGAGAGAAGAGCGAGGGGAGAGCGTTGCCACCTCCGGTTCCCTCCATACAGGCAGGCAGGCCCAGGGAGGGCAATTAGATAATAGAATCACCCCGGATGAGACTGAATGCTGCAGTTAGTGGGGCCAAGTACGAGGTGAACAGGGGGTGAGAGGTGAAATGGAGGGTTTGTGGGCAGATACACACACACACACACACACACACACACACACACACACACACAAACACAAACACACACACACACACATACAAACAAACAAACAAACACACACACACACACACATGCTTCAGTAAGCAAAGCATTCTCCACCATCACAGGCAGACGGTCATTAGCACACATTACTGTTAGCTACTTTAATGGTTAATATTGCTGGTCTGTTGGCCATGGAGTCAATGGTAGCAGGACCACTGAGAGACAGACTGTGTCCCAAAAAGCCCCTACGGGCCTTGGTCTAAAGTAGTGCACTAAATAGGGAATAGGGTGCCAGGAGAGAACAGCCAGGAGAGAACAACACACACCAGCTAATAATGAAGGAATTAAGTCAGGAGAAAGTATATTCATTCTGTCAGAGTGAATTATGTAATAGATACACCAATCTGGACAGTTATAATGGATACACCAATCTGGACAGTCATAATGGATACACCAATCAGGACAGTCATAATAGATTCACCAATCAGGACAGTTGATTGGGTAACAGCAGGCTGGAGAGTACCCTGTCTCAGTTCATTCTCTCTCTCTCTCTCTCTCTCTCTCTCTCTCTCTCTCTCTCTCTCTCTCTCAGCCCCTCCTCTCCTCTCTCTCTCCTCCACATCTCCTCTCTCCCTCTCCTCTCCTCCTCTCCTCTCCCCCCTCTCCTCCTCTCCTCTCCTCCTCCTCTCCTCTCCTCTCCCCCTCTCCTCCTCTCCTCTCCCCCTCTCCCCCTCCTCTCCTCTCCCCCTCTCCTCCTCTCCTCTCCCCCTCTCCTCCTCTCCTCCTTTCCTCCTCCCCTCCAATCCTACTTCAGCTCTTAATTGTTTCGATTACATATCAATCTCTTGTAGCTGCAGGGAAGGTTGCCTGTTAAATGTGAGGGCTTTTGTAAAATTATCCATTAGGAGTGACGGGGTTCTAATCAGATTCAATCATCAACTCTGACTGCTACCTTATCTGCTGCGTTAGGAAAACTTCATTTTTCACAGCCTGTTGGTTGGTGCTAACACACAGATACACACAGCCTGTTGGTTAATGCTAACACACAGATACACACAGCCTGTTGGTTAATGCTAACACACAGATACACACAGCCTGTTGGTTAATGCTAACACACAGATACACACAGCCTGTTGGTTAATGCTAATACACAGATACACACAGCCTGTTGGTTGGTGCTAACACACAGATACACACAGCCTGTTGGTTAATGCTAACACACAGATACACACAGCCTGTTGGTTAATGCTAACACACAGATACACACAGCCTGTTGGTTAATGCTAACACACAGATACACACAGCCTGTTGGTTAATGCTAACACACAGATACACACAGCCTGTTGGTTAATGCTAACACACAGATACACACAGCCTGTTGGTTAATGCTAACACACAGATACACACAGCCTGTTGGTTAATGCTAACACACAGATACACACAGCCTGTTGGTTAATGCTAACACACAGATACACACAGCCTGTTGGTTAATGCTAACACACAGATACACACAGCCTGTTGGTTAATGCTAACACACAGATACACACAGCCTGTGGTTTAATGCTGAACACACAGATACACACAGCTGTTGGTTAATGGCTAACACACAGATACACACGCCTGTTGGTTAATGCTAACACACAGATACACACAGCACTGTTGGTTAATGCTAACACACAGATACACCACAGCCTGTTGGTTAATTGCTAACACACAGATACACACAGCCTGTTGGTTAATGCTAACACACAGATACACACAGCCTGTTGGTTAATGCTAACACACAGATACACACAGCCTGTTGGTTAATGCTAACACACAGATACACACAGCCTGTGGTTATGCTAACACACAGATACACACAGCCTGTTGGTTAATGCTAACACACAGATACACACAGCCCTGTTGGTTAATGCTAACACACAGATACACACAGCCTGTTGGTTTAATGCTAACACACCACAGGCCGTTGGTTTTAATGCTAACAACACAGATACACACGCCTGTTGGTTAGCTAACAAACACTGTGGTACAACACACAGATACACACAGCTGTTGGTTAATGCTAACAAAGATACACACAGCCTGTTTAATGCCACTCAGATAACACAGCCTATGCAACCACGTATCTAAGCCCAGGTACACACACTTGGTTACAATGTAATCAATCAGTCAGCACTGTGACTGGATGCGGGCACTACACACGATGTGTACCAGCATGCAGGAGGCCCAACAGGAGCCAGGACGGAGCTGTTCTCCAGCAATGCAGGAGGCTCAACTAAGGGCCAGGAGGAGAGTTCCAGCAATGCAGGAGGCTCAATAGAGGGCCAGGAGACTGGGAGATGGTTCTCCGAATGGCAGAGGCTACAGAGGAGCCATGGGACTGGAAGATGTTCGACAATCAGGGGCCCAGCTAGAGGAGCCAGGAGACGAGAGAGTCTCCAGCATGCGGAGGCCTAGTAGAGGAGCCAGGGGACTGGAGAGATGTTCTCCATCAGTGCAGGGCCCAACTAGAGGCCAGGGACTGGAGGTGTCTCCGCAATGCAGGAGGTCTCACAGCAATGCCAGGGACTGGAGAATTTCTAGAAGCAGGAGGGCCACTGAGGAGCCAGGGAATGAGATTGTTCTCCAGCAATGCAGGAGGCCCAACTAGAGGAGCCATGGGACTGGAGAGATGTTCTCCAGCAATGCAGGAGGCCCAACTAGAGGAGCCAGGGAGACTGGAGAGATGTTCTCATGGAGGCCCAGCAGAGCCAGGGGAGGCATGTCTCGCAAGCAGGGGACCATGCTAGAGATGCCGGGAATGGCAGGAGTCCCAGATGCAGAGGCCCAGAGAGGGCCGGAGGTACTGGAGATGCAGGCTCAATGCAGGAGCCATAGGAGTCCAGGGAGCTCGAGAATGCTAAGCCGGGCCTAGAGGAGCCAGGGGATGGAGAGTGTTCTCAATGCAGGCCATAGGAGGCCAGGGACTGAGGAGCAGGGCTGGGAGATGTCTTCAGGAGGGCCCAACAGAGGAGCCAGGGGACTGGAGAGATGTTCTCCAGCAGGGGAGAACAGCAAGGAGACAGGGACATAGCAAAACTCACCAACACAACAGGACACAGCTGAAGAACCAGAAAGAGAACTGCATATCACTGAGGGCCTCTATCCCGTCCATCAATCCTGAGGGCCTACGCTGCCTTCATATCACTGAGGGCTCTACCATGTCCAGTTCCTCACTGAGGGCCTCTATCCCGGCATTCAATATGAGGGCCTCTATCCTGCCATGTCCTACTGAGGGCCCTATCCCGGGCCTTTACGATGTTGCTCCATCAGTGCTGAGCCTAGCTAGGGGCAGGATCTGGGAGTTCTCCATCATGGAGGGGCCCAGCCTGGGGCCAGTGACTGAGAGGGCTTCTGCACGTTGGCAGAAGGACCTGAACCTGCCATACAACCAGAAAGGACAAAGACGACATGCAAACGACACACAAAGACCCAATCATGAGGGCTACGCCATTCATACACTGAGGGGCCTATCCCAGACCAATCATATCACTGAAGACCTATAGCCTGTCCATTCATATCACTGAGGGGCCTCTATCCCTGTCCATTCATATCACTGAGGGGCCTCTATCCCTGTCCATTCATATCACTGAGGGGCCTCTATCCCTGTCCATTCATATTGTTGCTAATTGAAAGTGTGTGTGTGTGTGTGAGGAGAATATGAGGGCGTGCAAACACGTGCAAATACATGGAGGGCTAACTCTGCCAGTTGGCCTCAAAGGACCTCTCTACATTCAGAAACAGAACACCACACACACACACACACACACACACACACACACACACACACCACACACACCACACATCCTGTATCTGCATTCAGAAACACATGACCGCTTCCCAGCGCTGATGAAATACATGAATAAACACAGTGCTCTCCGCTTCGCTCGCTTTCCTCTGGCTAGACCATCCACAGCCCCTCCTGGGGGGGGGGGTGGTACAAACAAAAAATTATTCTGAAAAACTGCAACCAGAAAGAAATCCTTCCCCCAGATGAATATTGCATCCCCGAAGGGTAGCGGACCGATCGACACGCAGGTCTGGGTCTCAGAGGTAGCTAGTGTAGTGCTGACTAACTGACTGACTGGTCAGTTAGTCAAGCATCACTAAGGAAGGTCAGACTAGGCTGAGAGCAGTCGGTGTTGTGTGTGTGTGTGTGTGTGTGTGTGTGTGTGTGTGTGTGTGTGTGTGTGTGGTAAACCCACTGCTGAGATAGACAGAGTAGATGAACGATGTGTGACCAGACAGAGGCATGCAGCGTCCCTGTCACGCTCTTCAACTCTCTCCACATCTCCTTTTTACTAAATAAAGTAAAAGTTCACAAAACTATGTGGAGATATGGGATCAGAGCATGATAATGTTCTATGTTATTGAGGAGGAGTGTTGGATTTTTCACATTGAGAGAGGAACTGTTGTCATTCACAATGGATGTAAAAAAGAACAGACTTGGTTGACTTTCTGTGTAATGAAAAGAAAATAACAGAAAACGGCATCAGTGTCCCACACGATTGATGACTGCTCACCTCCAACGCTTGGAAGAGCACTTTGGGACCTACTTCCCAATCCATTTGACTGTGATCCTGTCTCAGTTGACATGCCAGTAAGTGAAATCGAACATCTGATCGAACTGTCATGTGAGTGAATACATTCACGGGTCAATACAGAGGAGTTTTGTTTCCTGACCCAAAGGGAATACCATGCTGTCTCCCTCTGAGCATTTATTCCGCATTCAAAACAACTGGGAACTCAGAACTGGGAACACGAAAATCTACTAATTCCAAATTCAGTGCATTCAAGACAACTGGGACCTCTGAAAGAAACAAGCTTTGACTGGTAAAAAAAAGTTTTCAACGGTCATCCAACTCCGGTCTCTTTCTAGAGCTCCGACTTTCCAACCTAAAGATCACTGACGTCATTATTTTACCTCCCAGTTTTCTTGAAAGCACCATAAAACTCATGGTAGCCACCCTTCGCCAGCTCATATCTGTGTGAAGCTGGATTCAGTGCTCTGGTCTGCATTAAAACCAAATACAGTAACAATCCAGGTTGGACGTGACAGCAGAGATGAGGTGTAAACTGTCGACCACACCCATCTCATTAGTGGTGGTGAGATAAGAGAGATTATGCTAGATAAATTTGCAATTGACTGTCATAGCCCCACATTAAAAGTATGTGACAGTGAGTAAGAGAAGACAGTCAGAAATACAGAATGTTTTTCAATTGACTGCCATATCCCCAAATAAAAAAGTAAACATTGGCTGTTAAGTTTAAAAGAAAATTCACATGGTTGGGGGTCGCAATCATTTTCAGATATCAAAATGGGGTCATGGCCAAAAAAGTTTGGGAACCCCTGGTATACAGTAACAAATAAATAAAAATGACATACATATATATATATATATATATATATATATATATATATATATATATATATATATATATATATTATATAAATAATCATATTCTAATGTTACTTAAGACCTTCATATACACAACCAAATGATTATTATTTTGTGATAGCATATGGAATCTATTAATTACAATGTTAGAATGTTGCAGTCAGAATGACTGCTCATTAGCTTGAAGGAGGGTCCCTCTAGGACCAAGGATTCTAGTGTTAAAGAGGACATCTTCCTGACAAGAACCAGTTTGGGGTCAAAACATTGTCCTATTAGACACAGACTTTACTATAGTTGACTACTTACTTTACTGTAGTTGAGTGTACTTACTTTACTGTAGTTTAGTGTACTTACTTTACTGTAGTTGAGTCTACTTACTTTACTGTAGTTGACTACTTATTGTAGTTGATTACTTACTTTACTGTAGTTGAGTCTACTTACTTTACTGTAGTTGACTACTTATTGTAGTTGACTACTTACTTTACTGTAGTTGAGTGTACTTACTTTACTGTAGTTGAGTCTACTTACTTTACTGTAGTTGAGTCTACTTACTTTACTGTAGTTGACTACTTATTGTAGTTGACTACTTACTTTACTGTAGTTGAGTCTACTTACTTTACTGTAGTTGACTACTTATTGTAGTTGACTACTTACTTTACTGTAGTTGAGTCTACTTACTTTACTGTAGTTGAGCCTACTTACTTTACTGTAGTTGAGTCTACTTACTTTACTGTAGTTGAGGCTACTTACTTTACTGTAGTTGAGGCTACTTACTTTACTGTAGTTGAGGCTACTTACTTTACTGTAGTTGAGGCTACTTACTTTACTGTAGTTGAGTCTACTTACTTTACTGTAGTTGAGTCTACTTACTTTACTGTAGTTGTCTACTTACTTAACTGTAGTTGACTACTTACTTTACTGTAGTTGACTACTTATTGTAGTTGACTACTTACTTTACTGTAGTTGAGTCTACTTACTTTACTGTAGTTGAGTCTACTTACTTTACTGTAGTTGACTACTTATTGTAGTCGACTACTTACTTTACTGTAGTTGAGTCTACTTACTTTACTGTAGTTGAGTCTACTTACTTTACTGTAGTTGAGTCTACTTACTTTACTGCAGTTGAGTATACTTACTTTACTGCAGTTGAGTATACTTACTTTACTTTCCTCTGTGGTCCTCTGTAGCTCAGCTGGTAGAGCACGGCGCTTGTAACGCCAAGGTAGTGGGTTTGATCCCCGGGACCACCCATACACAAAAAAAATGTATGCACGCATGACTGTAAGTCGCTTTGGATAAAAGCGTCTGCTAAAAGGCATATTATTATTATTATTTATTATTATTTCCATAGGCCTAATACTCCTCCTGTAGCGTAGGGACAACAGGGGTGTTTATTCCTCCTGTAGCATAGGGACAACAGGGGTGTTTACTCCTCCTGTAGCATAGGGACAACAGGGGTGTTTATTCCTCCTGTAGCATAGGGACAACAGGGGTGTTTATTCCTCCTGTAGCATAGGGACAACAGGGGTGTTTTATTCCTCCTGTAGCATAGGGACAACAGGGGTGTTTATTCCTCCTGTAGCGTAGGGACAACAGGGGTGTTTATTCCTCCTGTAGCGTAGGGACAACAGGGGTGTTTATTCCTCCTGTAGCATAGGGACAACAGGGGTGTTTACTCCTCCTGTAGCGTAGGGACAACAGGGGTGTTTTCACTAGGAAGCAAACGGCCCAAACAGGGAGGGACACACCTGAACTTGGAGAGGAAGGAGAGGGATGGAGAGATAGAGAGATTGGGACGGGGAGGAGAGGAGAGGAGAGGAAGGAGAGGGATGGAGAGATAGAGAGATTGGGACGTGGAGAGAGAGAGGAGAGGAGAGGAGAGGAGAGGAGGAAGGAGAGGGATGGAGAGATAGAGAGATTGGGACGGGGAGAGAGAGAGGAGAGGAGAGGAAGGATTTAATTATGAAGTAATTTGGTGCCTAGCCTGTACACGCTGCCAGCTTGAGTCATACTCTACTCTCCCACTGGAGATCGGGGTTCAATCCCAGTCTCCACCCTTCCTAATGTACTCCTTGTGTATGAATTAACTAGTGTGTGTATTATTAAGCTGTATTCAGTAATTCCTCTTGTCTTATGTTGACGTCTAGATTCTGAAGGAGTTAGCGGACGAGGACTGGGACATGGGTAACATTGTGTACACTCTGACGAACAGACGATATGGAGAGAACTGCATTGCCTACGCAGAGAGCCACGACCAGGTAACACAACCATCACAACTCTTTATTCATTCATTTAACAGGGTTATAGATCTATCTCTGTCGGCAGAGTGTGCGGCTGCTCCATGGCTGAGCAGCCACACACAAGCCTAAGATCACCATGCGCAATGCCAACCGTCGGCTGGAGTGGTGTAAAGTTCGCCGCCATTAGACTCTGGAGCAGTGTGGAAACGCTTTCTCTGGAGTGATGAATCCCGCTTCACCATCTGGCAGTCTGATGGACGAATCTGGGATTGGCGAATATGCCAGGAGAACGCTACATGCCCCAATGCATAGTGCCAACTGTAAAGTTTGGTGGAGGAATAATGGTCTGGGCCTGTTTTTCATGGTTCAGTCTAGGCCCCTTAGTTCAAGTGAAGGGAAATCTTAACGCTACAGCATACAGTGACATTCTAGATGATTATGTGCTTCCAACTTTGTGGCAAATTTGGGGAAGGCCCTTTCCTGTTTCAGCATGACAATACCCCCGTGCAAAAAGCAAGGTCCATAAAGAAATGGTTTGTCAAGATCGGTGTGGAAGAACTTGACTGGCCTGCACAGAGCCCTGACCTCAACCCCATCGAACACCTTTGGGATGAATTGGAACGCCAACTGCGAGCCAGGCCTAATCGCCCAACATCAGTGCCCGACTTCACTAATGCTCTTGTGGCTGAATGGAAGCAAGTCCCCGCTGCAATGTTCCAACATCTAGTGGAAAGCCTTCCCAGAAGAGTGGAGGCTGTTATAGCAGAAAAGGGGGGACCAACTCCATATTAATGCCCATGATTTTGGAATGAGATGTACATGTCTCTCACTCTCTCTACATCTCGCTCAATTCCATTCAAAGGGCTTTATTGGCATGGGAAAAGCAAGTGAAATAGATAATAGACAATATAAACTTAACAGTAAACATTACACTCAGAAGTTCCAAAGGAATGGAGACATTTCAAATGTCATATTATGGTTATATACAGTGTTGTAACAATGTGCAAATAGTTAAAGTACAAAAGGGAAATAAATAAATATAAATATGGGTTGTCTTGCTATATTGTCTTGCTGCTGTGATATTTCACCCAAATAGATACGGGAGTTTATCAAACTTTGATTTGTTTTGAATTCTTTGTGGGTCTGTGTAATCTGAGGGAAATACAGTGGGGAAAAAAAGTATTTAGTCAGCCACCAATTGTGCAAGTTCTCCCACTTAAAAAGATGAGAGAGGCCTGTAATTTTCATCATAGGTACACGTCAACTATGACAGACAAAATGAGGGGAAAAAATCCAGAAAATCACATTGTAGGATTTTTAATGAATTTATTTGCAAATTATGGTGGAAAATAAGTATTTGGTCAATAACAAAAGTTTTTCAATACTTTGTTATATACCCTTTGTTGGCAATGACACAGGTCAAACGTTTTCTGTAAGTCTTCACAAGGTTTTCACACACTGTTGCTGGTATTTTGGCCCATTCCTCCATGCAGATCTCCTCTAGAGCAGTGATGTTTTGGGGCTGTCGCTGGGCAACACGGTCTTTCAACTCCCTCCAAAGATTCTCTATGGGGTTGAGATCTGGAGACTGGCTAGGCCACTCCAGGACCTTGAAATGCTTCTTACGAAGCCACTCCTTCGTTGCCCGGGCGGTGTGTTTGGGATCATTGTCATGCTGAAAGACCCAGCCACGTTTCATCTTCAATGCCCTTGCTGATGGAAGGAGGTTTTCACTCAAAATCTCACGATACATGGCCCCATTCATTCTTTCCTTTACACGGATCAGTCGTCCTGGTCCCTTTGCAGAAAAACAGCCCCAAAGCATGATGTTTCCACCCTCATGCTTCACAGTAGGTATGGTGTTCTTTGGATGCAACTCAGCATTCTTTGTCCTCCAAACACGACGAGTTGAGTTTTTACCAAAAAGTTCTATTTTGGTTTCATCTGACCATATGACATTCTCCCAATCCTCTTCTGGATGCACTCTAGCAAACTTCAGACGGGCCTGGACATGTACTGGCTTAAGCAGGGGGACACGTCTTGCACTGCAGGATTTGAGTCCCTGGCGGCGTAGTGTGTTACTGATAGTAGGCTTTGTTACTTTGGTCCCAGCTCTCTGCAGGTCCTTCACTAGGTCCCCCCGTGTGGTTCTGGGAATTTTGCTCACCGTTCTTGTGATCATTTTGACCCCACAGGGTGAGATCTTGCGTGGAGCCCCAGATCGAGGGAGATTATCAGTGGTCTTGTATGTCTTCCATTTCCTAATAATTGCTCCCACAGTTGATTTCTTCAAACCAAGCTGCCTACCTATTGCAGATTCAGTCTTCCCAGCCTGGTGCAGGTCTACAATTTTGTTTCTGGTGTCCTTTGACAGCTCTTTGGTCTTGGCCATAGTGGTTTTTGGAGTGTGACTGTTTGAGGTTGTGGACAGGTGTCATGTATACTGATAACAAGTTCAAACAGGTGCCATTAATACAGGTAACGAGTGGAGGACAGAGGAGCCTCTTAAAGAAGAAGTTACAGGTCTGTGAGAGCCAGAAATCTTGCTTGTTTGTAGGTGACCAAATACTTATTTTCCACCATAATTTGCAAATAAATTCATAAAAAATCCTACAATGTGATTTTCTGGAATTTCTTTTCTCAATTTGTCTGTCATAGTTGACGTGTACCTATGATGAAAATTACAGGCCTCTCTCATCTTTTTAAGTGGGAGAACTTGCACAATTGGTGGCTGACTAAATACTTTTTTTCCCCACTGTATGTGTCTCTAATATGGTCATACATTTGGCAGGAGGTTAGGAAGTGCAGCTCAGTTTCCACCTCATTTTGTGGGCAGTGTGCACATAGCCTGTCTTCTCTTGAGAGCCAGGTCTTTCTTGTTAGACCTTTCTCAATAGCAAGGCTATGCTCACTGAGTCTGTACGTAGTTAAAGGTTTCCTTAATTTTGGGTCAGTCACAGTGGTCAGGTATTCTGACACTGTGTACTCTCTGTTTAGGGCCAAAAAGCATTCTAGTTTGCTCTGTTTTTTTGTTAATTCTTTCCGTGTCAAGTAATTATCTTTATTTATTTTTCTACATCTCTCTCTCTCTACATCTACATCTCTCTCGCTCTCACTACATCTCTCTCGCTCTCTCTACATATCTCTCTCTACATCTCTCTCTACATCTCTCTCTCTCTCTTTACACCTCTCTCTCTACCCCTCTCTCTCTCTTTCTACATCTCTCTCTACGTCTCTCTCTCTACGTCTCTACAACTCTCTCTTTATCTCTCTCTTCACATCTCTCTCTACATCTCCTCGCTCTCTCTACATCTCTCACTCTCTCTATATCTCTCTCTCGCTCTCTCTACATCTCTCTCTCTCTCTACATCTATCTCTCTCTATATATGTATATATATATATCACTCTCGCTAGTCTCTGGTAGGTGATAAGTCCTTGGCATTCTGGCTGATGGATAAAGAGATGTACACCAACATGAGTTCTCTGATCCCCATGACGCCCGTCATCGACCGAGGCATCCAGCTCCATAAGATGATCCGCCTCCTCACACACGCTCTGGGGGGAGAGGGCTACCTCAACTTCATGGGTGAGTTGGGGGGAGAGGGGTACCTCAACTTCATGGGTGAGTTGGGGGGAGAGGGGTACCTCAACTTCATGAGTGAGTTGGGGGGAGAGGGGTACCTCAACTTCACGGGTGAGTTGGGGGAGAGGGGTACCTCAACTTCATGGGTGAGTTGGGGGGAGAGGGGTACCTCAACTTCATGAGTGAGTTGGGGGGAGAGGGGTACCTCAACTTCATGAGTGAGTTGGGGGGAGAGGGGTACCTCAACTTCACGGGTGAGTTGGGGGGAGAGGGCTACCTAAACTTCATGGGTGAGTTGGGGGAGAGGGGGGTACCTCAACTTCATGGGTGAGTCGGGGGAGAGGGCTACCTAAACTTCATGGGTGAGTCGGGGGAGAGGGCTACCTAAACTTCATGGGTGAGTTGGGGGAGAGGGGGGTACCTCAACTTCATGGGTGAGTTGGGGGAGAGGGGGGTACCTCAACTTCATGGGTGAGTTGGGGGAGAGGGGGGTACCTCAACTTCATGGGTGAGTCGGGGGAGAGGGCTACCTCAACTTCATGGGTGAGTCGGGTGGAGAGGGCTACCTCATCTTCATGGGTGAGTCGGGGGGAGAGGGGTACATCAACTTCATGGGTGAGTCGGGGGGAGAGGGCTACCTCAACTTCATGGGTGAGTTGGGGGGAAAGGGTGTGGCTGTGTTGGTGGGAGAGGGGTACCCCAACTTCATGGGTGAGTAGGGGGAGGGGTACCCAACTTCATAGGGTGAGTAGGGGGAGGGGTACCCAACTTCATAGGGTGAGTAGGGGGGAAGGGTGTAAAAGAAGGCTACCTCTCTAACTTCATGTATGTGTCGCAATGGAAACAGATGCAGATCCAGAGACGACAACTCATGAGAAAAGTGTTCATTTTAGACCAATCAGAAGAGCGTTCAGTTGGACCAATCAGAAGAGCGTTCAGATGGACCAATCAGAAGAGCGTTCAGTTAGACCAATCAGAAGAGTGTTAATGTTAGACCAATCAGGAGAGCGTTCAGTTGGACCAATCAGAAGAGCGTTAAGTTGGACCAATCAGAAGAGCGTTAAGTTGGACCAATCAGAAGAGCGTTAAGTTGGACCAATCAGAAGAGCGTTCAGTTGGACCAATCAGAAGAGCGTGCAGTTAGACCAATCAGAAGAGTGTGCAGTTAGACCAATCAGAAGAGCGTGCAGTTAGACCAATCAGAAGAGTGTGCAGTTAGACCAATCAGAAGAGTGTGCAGTTAGACCAATCAGAAGAGTGTGCAGTTAGACCAATCAGAAGAGTGTGCAGTTAGACCAGTTTTATTAAGATGATAGTAAGGATTCATTGACATTTGAAACAACATTTGGCCTTATTCACAATTTTATAACGTATTTTCTCTGACAGTAAAATAGGTAATGTAGCATTGCCGATAGCTGAAACACATTGATAGAGAAATAACATTATTATTGTTATTATTATTATTACGTTTATTTGAACAGGGACAATGTACAACAAAAAATACGTCTGAGGACACTTGAGAAAAAATATGTTGTACCAGATTTAGACAACTAATTTCCGTCTGCAGTCCCCGGGCAGGTGAACATGTAAACAGACAACATACAAACATTAACACAATGGAATGGAATAAAATAAATAATCTGAGCCAATAAAACAAACAAAAACAAACAGCAACAACAAAGGTTCTGATGTTCTTTAACCTGTGTTCACTGTGTGTAAAAGCACTGACACTAGCCACACATTAGTATGTAACCCTATAGACTGCTCCACCCTATAGACTGCTCCACCCTATAGACTGCTCCCCAGTATGTAACCCTATAGACTGCTCCCAACTATGTAACCCTATAGACTGCTCCACCCTATAGACTGCTCCCCACTATGTGACCCTATAGACTGCTCCACCCTGTAGACGGTTCCCCAGTATGTAACCCTGTAGACTGTTCCCCAGTATGTAACCCTGTAGACTGCTCCCCAGTATGTAACCCTATAGACTGCTCCCCAGTATGTAACCCTATAGACTGCTCCCCCAATATGTAACCCCATAGACTGCTCCCCACTATGTGACCCTATAGACTGCTCCACCCTATAGACTGCTCCCCACTATGTCACCCTATAGATTGCTCCCCCAGTATGTAACCATGTAGACTGCTCCCCAGTATGTAACCATATAGACTGCTCCACCCTATAGACTGCTCCCCCAGTATGTAACCCTATAGACTGCTCCACCCCATAGACTGCTCCCTAGTATGTAACCCTATAGACTGCTCCCCCAGTATGTAACCCTGTAGACTTCTCCCCACTATGTAACCCTATAGACTGCTCCCCAGTATGTAACCCTATAGACTGCTCCCCCAGTATGTAACCCTATAGACTGCTCCACCCTATAGACTGCTCCCCAGTATGTAACCCTATAGACTGCTCCCCAGTTTCTAACCCTATAGACTGCTCCCCCAGTATGTAACCCTATAGACTGCTCCACCCCATAGACTGCTCCCCAGTATGTAACCCTATAGACTGCTCCCCAGTATGTAACCCTATAGACTGCTCCCCCAGTATGTAACCCTATAGACTGCTCCACCCTATAGACTGCTCCCCCAGTATGTAACCCTATAGACTGCTCCCCCAGTATGTAACCCTGTAGACTGCTCCCCAGTTTGTAACCCTATAGACTGCTCCACCCTATAGACTGCTCCCCAGTTTGTAACCCTGTAGACTGCTCCCCACTATGTAACCCTATAGACTGCTCCCCAGTATGTAACCCTATAGACTGCTCCCCCAGTATGTAACCCTATAGACTGCTCCCCACTATGTGACCCTATAGACTGCTCCCCAGTATGTAACCCTATAGACTGCTCCACCCTGTAGACTGCTCCCCCAGTATGTAACCCTATAGACTGCTCCACCCTGTAGACTGCTCCCCCAGTATGTAACCCTATAGACTGCTCCACCCTATAGACTGCTCCCCAGTTTGTAACCATGTAGACTGCTCCCCACTATGTAACCCTATAGACTGCTCCCCCAGTATGTAACCCTATAGACTGCTCCCCATCCACCCTATAGACTGCTCCCCACTATGTAACCCTATATACTGCTCCCCAGTATGTAACCCTATAGACTGCTCCCCAGTATGTAACCCTATAGACTGCTCCCCAGTATGTGACCCTATAGACTGCTCCACCTTATAGACTTCTCCCCAGTTTGTAACCCTGTAGACTGCTCCCCCAGTATGTAACCCTATAGACTTATCCACCCTACAGACTGCTCCCCCAGTATGTAACCCTATAGACTGCTCCACCCTATAGACTGCTCCCCAGTTTGTAACCATATAGACTGCTCCCCACTATGTAACCCTATAGACTGCTCCCCACTATAGACTGCTCCACCCTATAGACTGCTCCCCAGTATGTAACCCTGTAGACTGCTCCCCCAGTATGTAACCCTATAGACTGCTCCCCAGTATGTGGCCCTGTATACTGCTCCCCACTATATAACCCTATAGACTGCTCCCCCAGTATGTAACCCTATAGACTGCTCTCCACTATGTGACCCTATAGACTGCTCCCCCAGTATGTAACCCTATAGACTGCTCCCCACTATGTAACCCTATAGACTGCTCCCCCAGTATGTAACCCTATAGACTGCTCCCCAGTATGTGACCCTGTAGACTGCTCCCCACTATGTAACCCTATAGACTGCTCCCCCAGTATGTAACCCTATAGACTGGTCCCCAGTATGTGACCCTATAGACTGCTCCACCCCATAGACTGCTCCCCCAGTATGTAACCCTATAGACTGCTCCCCAGTATGTGACCCTATAGACTGCTCCCCAGTATGTAACCTTATAGACTGCTCCCCCAGTATTTAACCCTATAGACTGCTCCACCCTATAGACTGCTCCCCAGTATGTGACCCTATAGACTGCTCCCCAGTATGTAACCTTATAGACTGCTCCCCAGTATGTAACCTTATAGACTGCTCCCCCAGTATGTAACCCTATAGACTGCTCCCCAATATATGACCCTATAGACTGCTCCCCAGTATGTGACCCTATAGACTGCTCCCCAGTATGTAACCCTATAGACTGCTCCCCAGTATGTAACCCTATAGACTGCTCCCCCAGTATGTAACCCTATAGACTGCTCCCCAATATGTGACCCTATAGACTGCTCCCCAGTATGTGACCCTATAGACTGCTCCCCAGTATGTAACCCTATAGACTGCTCCCCAGTATATAACCCTATAGACTGCTCCCCCAGTATGTAACCCTATAGACTGCTCCCCAGTATGTGACCCTATAGACTGCTCCCCAGTATGTAACCCTATAGACTGCTCCACCCTATAGACTGCTCCCCAGTTTGTAACCCTATAGACTGCTCCACCCTATAGACTGGTCCCCAGTTTGTGACCATATAGACTGCTCCCCAGTATGTAACCCTATAGACTGCTCCCCACTATAGACTGCTCCACCCTATAGACTGCTCCCCAGTATGTGACCCTATAGACTGCTCCCCAGTATGTAACCCTATAGACTGCTCCCCCAGTATGTAACCCTATAGACTGCTCCACCCTATAGACTGCTCCCCAGTATGTAACCCTATAGACTGCTCCCCCAGTATGTAACCCTATAGACTGCTCCCCCAGTATGTAACCCTATAGACTGCTCCACCCTATAGACTGCTCCCCAGTTTGTAACCCTGTAGACTGCTCCCCACTATGTAACCCTATAGACTGCTACCCCAGTATGTAACCCTATAGACTGCTCCACCCTATAGACTGCTCCCCCAGTATGTAACCCTATAGACTGCTCCACCCCATAGACTGCTCCCCCAGTATGTAACCCTATAGACTGCTCCCCAGTATGTGACCCTATAGACTGCTCCCCAGTATGTAACCCTATAGACTGCTCCCCCAGTATTTAACCCTATAGACTGCTCCCCAATATATGACCCTATAGACTGCTCCCCAGTATGTGACCCTATAGACTGCTCCCCAGTATGTAACCCTATAGACTGCTCCCCAGTATGTAACCCTATAGACTGCTCCCCCAGTATGTAACCCTATAGACTGCTCCCCAATATGTGACCCTATAGACTGCTCCCCAGTATGTGACCCTATAGACTGCTCCCCAGTATGTAACCCTATAGACTGCTCCCCAGTATATAACCCTATAGACTGCTCCCCCAGTATGTAACCCTATAGACTGCTCCCCAGTATGTGACCCTATAGACTGCTCCCCAGTATGTAACCCTATAGACTGCTCCACCCTATAGACTGCTCCCCAGTTTGTAACCCTATAGACTGCTCCACCCTATAGACTGGTCCCCAGTTTGTGACCCTATAGACTGCTCCACCATATAGACTGCTCCCCAGTATGTAACCCTATAGACTGCTCCCCACTATAGACTGCTCCACCCTATAGACTGCTCCCCAGTATGTGACCCTATAGACTGCTCCCCAGTATGTAACCCTATAGACTGCTCCCCCAGTATGTAACCCTATAGACTGCTCCACCCTATAGACTGCTCCCCAGTATGTAACCCTATAGACTGCTCCCCCAGTATGTAACCCTATAGACTGCTCCCCCAGTATGTAACCCTATAGACTGCTCCACCCTATAGACTGCTCCCCAGTTTGTAACCCTGTAGACTGCTCCCCACTATGTAACCCTATAGACTGCTCCCCCAGTATGTAACCCTATAGACTGCTCCACCCTATAGAC